CACCTGAATCAAGTTGATTAACTGGAACAAGATATTTTGGTTGTTTTATGATAAGAAATCTTCACCAGCCTCAAGTTCATCACGGAGTTTGTTATTATATTCGTTAAGTAGCTCATACATATCTTGTTGGGGATTAATTGTTTAAATATAAACTCGATCATAGTCAAAATTATTGTCCAGTAGTAAATTCATAAATTTGATTTCCCCATTTAGTTCTTCCAACGATGAGATAACGACAATCTGGCATTTCATTGTTATGTTTATGTTTTACCAACCGCTCTGTACCAAAGTTTAATATTGACGATTTTGCCATCTTTGTTATTTATACAATTTTATTTTATATAAAAAATGTTAAACAATAAATAGATGATGACCAATTATACAAAATTTAACATCATTAAAAAATTCACGAGCTGTAAGTACAATAACGAACGGCAATATTAATTTATCGAGAGATCTGAAAAAATATGGCGTTACAATGACAGGAAACCTGTGTATGTCAAATCAGTGAGTGTTAGATTTAGAAATAAATTATCCAGGAATTAATGTTGTTAATACCACCATCGAATGAAACTGATGCTATTAATTATAATCAGTTGAAATAATAATTTACCCCATGTTTTAAGAAATCCTGTGGAACGATGTATGGGAAAATAAATACGAGAACCAATAAGACAATTACGACTTACGTTCCAGCTAACCCATATGATCTGACAAATACAGCATACATTTACAGTCTATCTAGTGGTATAAAACGAACAAAAATAATGTTGGGTATTCCAACACCTTTTAGGGCAACTGATAATCAAGTTGGATTTGAGGTATGCGCATCAGCATATTATCCTGAAAATTATCCTTATTACGCTTTCTCTGATAGACAAGAATGGACACCCAATTGAAAAGTTATAATTTTTGGATTAAAATTAAATGTCCCATTGGCGTCGCTTTTTTGTAATTTCATTTACGTAGTCGATTAATCTCTAGTGTTGGTTGAATTTATAATTAGCGATTAGAAGGATCGAATGATCATATCAACTGGACAATACTGTATAGTACAGAAAACACACATATTTCAACAACACAATATTTTACGACTTCAGGAGAAAAAACTGTCAACAATTATATTTTCGAGTTTATGCTGGCGCCGGTGATATTCCAGGATAAACAGCATTTCAAATATATACAGTTGATGATCAAATTTAATATAACTTTGTAAATTAATGTCAAAACCACTACTTATAACCGTTGCTAGAGATTTTTACTATAATATTTTTAACGCTAATTATATGTTGGAAACAAATCACTAGCAACACGTACGATAAATGCTACTAAACAATTTACAATTCCAATGATAAATTCTTCATTATCAGAAAAAGAAAAAAAGTTTGTTAGTATTATGTATACACGAGGACCACAGCTAAAAAGACAACGTAAAACTTTGTTATTATAAGCAGATACTGTTATCCTGATGATTGTCTACAAGAACAAAACCAAGTTGAAATCCTGTTGAAAAACATATTACTTGAGCTTGATTTAAAAATATCGAGTTTATAATGATATCAGACTTACGAACGCGGATAGCACTGGACGGGACAATAAACGAGAATCACAATCCTCACAACAAACTGCCAGAATCTAGAATAAAAAGAATAAAAAGAACAAGGCGTTCTATAATATTTTTTTAAAAATGAAATGTTTTAACTATCTGGGTATGTACTACCATGACATGAAAACCCTAGTTAAAATGAAAGCGGATACGGAGTTAATTATGCAAGCATACTTCAACGCCACTTATACCAATGATGCGTAAAAGACCCATAATTTGATCCAATTATTGTGATCAGATCACAAAATAATAAAATATTTTGACGATCAAATTGATAATTTCTGTGACATTGAGCAAGAAAACTCTTTTTTTAGAAAGTCATTCAGTCAACATTTGAAGAAAAGCTTAATTCTTATTATGATATTAATAAAGAAAATGATGTTTCACTTCCATCGATCCAGCGCTCTAGACGATTGTCATTACGAAATTATTACAATGAAATCGAGAAAATATTTACAAAACAGCATGAAAAATAATTGCTTAAGGTACATCCTTCTACTAATCTTATAATTACTGAACGAAAATCACTCCAAAACGTAATGCTGATAAATTTCGTAGTCACATATGCAATTATTGAACAATATCTTATCCTAATTTTTTTTACTTTGAATGAAATAAACTTGGTACTTGGATTTATTGATGAGACAGAGAGATATATTTAATCAAATGTTTATGACAGGTAAAGAGATTTTATAGCCGACAATAATAAATTTGGTGTATTTCTTGATTCAATTGTTGGTTGTACAGTTTTTAATGTTACATAAAATCTGTAAACACATATTTTATATTAAAAAAATCAGATCATCGATTTTATCATATTGCAGATGAAATTCCAACACAAGATGTTGACGCACTAATGCAATATTACATATATTATCATACAAATACTTTGTGGTGTAAAACAATGTTACGAATACCATTGAAAATCTTCGGCTAATATCATATATACCGTTGTTAATGACTAGCTCTAGTATAATTTCAAGTGGAGCATCATTACATCCGTTTTGTTAATAATATCCGGTATTGGTGTTTCTCTTGTAACAACGTGTAAAAAATTGAGTCTCGACTTGTGACTAAAAATGCTTGTAAAACAGTATCACTAATAACAAATTACTTGATCAGATACGATCTTATTTTCGGAGTATAAAACAATATATGAACAATTTAATACGCGAGTTTAGTATTATTGACGCTATGTTAACAGATATTCTGCCAATGAGAGTCAGCAGGTATACAAATATTAGCATAAAATATGGGTTACAACAATAATAAATGTTTAATTTTGCCAAGTTTTAGAAATATCATTCATCAACTATATTGACAATAAATGTCAGTGTATCATCTGCCCAACTTACTATTGGTTCGTCATTTTCAGTCGTGAATAACCACATCGATCCATGTTTTGTGATATATGGCAACTAACATTTTTGATTCAATTATTATTTTAGGTTTCATTCAAAGGTTATATAAATTATTTTATTTTTATATAATTTAAATTTAACATGGCTGTAACAGTAGTATAGAAAGATGAGTTGTCCCTAGCTAATTGATCCCCTACACAGACAAAACATATTTTGTCAGTAAGAGAGAAAGCCTGCAAGTAGCTTCTCGTGGGTCGGTGGTTTTTCCTGGGTTGCCTAGGGTTCTTCCTCCACAATTAATACTGGCCGCCATGTACAGCCTATCTTGTGCTGAAAAATGCCGTTAAACCCTACAACAACAACAACACAGACAAAACATATTTTGTCAGAAATATGTTAGAAAAACCTTATCATATAAGAGTGATCATTCTGAGCTAACAAAAATACTCCTGACAAAAATGTTAACATAGAAAGGTTTGGAGTGGTAGTGGTCCCTGTAATATGATCACATCTTTCTATATGTTTGCTTCCAATAAAGTTAACTAATGCGAATTAAAATGCTTTTTGGATATGTCTTGCACTAAAGGTGTGTATGAATGTGTGTGTGCGTGTGTGTGATTTGGACTTTTAACGTAGCTTTAACATAGAAAGGTTCGGAGGTTTAAGGGTTCCTTATATAGAAATCTCATCTTTCTATACTACTGAAGCAGTGATTTTAAGCACTGCCAACTCAGGATTCACTTTCCATAATTATCTGGATACGCATACAGAGTCAATTTGTCTGCACTTTACGTTAGAATCTCAAGATTTTGCACTTTACGTTAGAATCTCAAGATTTCCTTCTTTGTCATGAATATGCTTAAGTAAATACATGCAATCAACGAACCAATGAAATAAGTTCCTTGCCTAAACGGAAATGACCCTTAACAATCAATAAAGGCTGTGTTTGGAAGCGAAAATCTAATTGTCACAGTCAGCGTGAAATGACATGTTGGGTCGGCTTTCCGAGAGAATGTTATTCCGACTTGCAACGGGGCTTAATCTAAGTTCTGTTTGAAAAACGAGATAATCTTATCGCTTATAGCCACAGGTTTATCTCGAGGCTTGCGATGATCAGGTTATAAATCACACAGTTTTCTTCATGAAGAAAATACGTCCTTGTTACATGCAACTAAGAAATGGCCCTATGATTCAGAGCAGATTCGTCTATAGTGCTGACTTTACAATTTCGTCCATGCTTATGTCCTGGTTGCTTTAAAAAGAAACAAACTTTAACCTCGTGTATCCGAACTCCTCTTGGTCCAAGAAAAAAGTTTTATTAAAAGGGGTTTTATTGTAGTAAATATGAATCCTTAGAGAATTTAAAAGTTGCTGTGATAAAGGCAAAATAAAGAAAAATGCTGATGAATGCAGTTTGAGTTTCTACTGTATTATATTTACTTCTTTGCTGAGTGTTGATATTGGACAAATTTACAATAATTTCATTGAATGGCAAGATGAAATCTCACTCGTTTTGGTGGACATATTTCAGTCCTACCTCCAGATGGAATTTTCTCTCAATGGAGTTTCTGCAAAAATGAAAGAACGGAAAATTAAACACTGCTTATTTGAAATGGAAGAATTCGTGAATGACATTTGAAACGATTACTCAAGTTTGTATTTCAATGTGCAACCTTGGCTTGATGAAAAATTATTTATTTATTTTCCTGCTTGCATTATGCTTTGATATTCGAGTCCTGTATGTTAAGAAATAAGTTTTGAACATTTCTGAATAGCGATCACACATATGGAGGAAATATATATTTACAAATATTAATTATCTAATTTCATTAGAAAATAACTTTTATTATTCATTTTAATGATGATATTGTATATTTAATTTAAATTATTATTATCGATCGATCTTTTTCATATGCAACTAGCCATGCTCAAACTATTATTGACATACAATTGCATCTTCGCATTTTTCTGCACCTGTCTGTTCTGAATTTTGAGTTATATTTACGGCTTCATGCAAGCTGTCATGAATATTATGTCACTGGCCTAGTGGTTAGAGCATCTGCCTTGGATGCGGGAGGTCGCGGGTTTGAACCCAGCCGAGTCATGTCAAAGACTTAAAAAATGGTATTAACAGCGCTTCGTTTGACGCTCAGCATTAAGAGGTAAGTGTTAGGACTGGTCCGCCTGGTGTCAGGATAATGTGACTGGAGGGACATCATGCCACATGTCTGCGGCATGATGCCCAGTGCTTGACATCACTATGAACTGTCACACTGCAAACATCATAGCGAAATGACTGAAAAATTGTTATAGCTAAGTTACAAATCTAAATCAAACACACGCACACACACACACACACACACACATGCACACAAGCGGTTATAAACTCTACATCTGCTGGAGAGAGTTTTATGTCCAACATTTTTGGACCCTTCATCCTGTCGAGGAACTTGCTGCACTTTGTAAATAGGCGTCTGAGACAAACAAGAAAGGAATCTTTCCAATCAAGCAATGTCTTTCGAGGAAAATTATAAATATATATGTAGATTGACATGAGCAGTGATTTAATATTTTATGGATAACAGAAACATATTGTAATCTATATATATATATATAGTTTAGTAACTCTGTTATGTAATAAAATTTCTTGTTATGTAAGAAAGGTTCTGCTTGTTCTGTAGTTGTTATAGTTTTGTAGTTGTTGTTTAGTTGTTGTTTTCTAACATAACCTTCTTCTCATTTCTTGCTATGAGATGGAAATTATCGCTACTTTAAGAAATGCCTTGAATCTTGATCAGAGAGGAAGAAAGACAGAGAGAGAATCGAAAGTTCGGCTCTCTTAAAGATAAGGTGTCACTTATAATGGTGTAGATACGACTACATCTTTTTGTGGGGAAAGCTCTGGCACCGAAAGGTAGTGGAGATCGCTGTAAAATATAAACAGACACTCTCATTGATCTGGAACTAACAAATATTATTGATATATAAACTACATTCTAAAAATACAACTTATAAAAATCCTTTATATTGAAAATACATACAATACATATTACAATATATATTAAATAATTTCCATATGATCTACCACTTCATATGCTTGTATTCAAAGAGTGATGCCATAATCATTTTAAAGAAATGTACTTTATTTCATTTAATTTAGAATAACGACCTGGAAAAGATCATTGAACAATATACTTTATTATCTAAAGAATATTTTTTTGCAACTAAATTTTAGCATGAAGCTAGTAGTAAATTCATACAGATACAAACGAACATCGAATCTTAAAAATCAATTAAATATTCCTTTACATTTTAATAGTATATTAAAAACAAAACTCAAAAGAATATTACAACTACTAGTTACTACAGAAATCTTTAACTTTAAGGGGAAGTAACAAAACAGAAAATTCTTACCTGTAAAATATAAACAGACACTCTCCCTGATCTGGAACTAACAAGTTAAATATTCACAAGGGCTCTACCTTTTTATACTCTGAGAATTTAGTGTAACCTATGGGTATCACGCGCGTCCTTGTATAAAAGTCACGCGCGTCCTTGTTCCTTGTCCCAAACCAGAAAGGTTTATGTTAAATGGTTGTCTCTTAAGCGAATGACCTTTTAAGTCGTACGTTGCTTACAACCTTGAAATTTTGTTTCAAGTGAGGCCATTCATACAATGAACTTTTAAACCAGACAGTTTACGAATTTGCTGAATAAATTTGTGACAGTTGTAAGGAAAGCGAGTTTTACAGGTAAATCGTTTATTGTTCCATTCGCGCTATGAACTTTTGAACTGGGCTATTTTATGATCCTATTTATCAAATTTATCACTGCATGCAATCTAATGAAAATATATAAGACGGTGACGGAAAGGTTGATTATATACATCTAGCAGAATTTTCTCTCAATAACTAGTAGTTTCAACATAGTCTAACACACTTAAATGTTATTTTATTCTTCCAAAATTAATGTCTTAATAATACTTTCTGGTTTTTTTTAATCGAGTCCTCGAGGCTCGAAAAGAAAAAAAATACAATTATACAAGGAAGGTCCAAATATTAAAAATACAAAAATACAATAATGCATTGGTAAAGATTGATAAATTACAAAAGACAATAAAAACAAATTTTATTGTGGTATATTCATGTGAAGTTCAAAACCATAATACAATTATAATTTCCTGGTTATAGTATGTAGTAAAATACAAAAATACAATAAAAAGGTGTCAGGCATGAAAAAAGATATAGAGAAAGGTTTAATATATATATATATATATATATATATATATATATATATATATATATATATATATATATATATATATATATATATATATATATATATATATATATATATATATATATATGTGAATACTAGTCCGGTTAGACGTTTATACAGAGTTAGTATCAGCATGCAGTTCTTTGTTTCTCTATTTTTGTTTTATATGTAATTTTACTCCTTTATTGTTACTTTTTTATTTTATTTTTATTTTTATTTTGCATAACATCAGCAGAACATTTTTATCGGTGACTACGGTTATTATTTTGCTTCAGCAAAGTGTTTGAAAAGAAATCTTATTCTTATGGATAGTACTATTAAGCCGATATTGAGTTTATCTTCTTATTGCATACATAATATCATTAAATACCAGCGACATTGAAGTAAAAATGTTTGCTTAGAGAACCGCGGGGGAATTTGGTATTAATCAAAAGTAATGAAAGTGAAAATTTTCGTGTTGTGTTAGTCCTACTCTGAGAACCACAACGTTTGTGCATTTGCAATCAAACCTTGACCTGTGTGTATGAAATAAAAATTGCAATTAATCTATCTTAGGAGGAATAAGTGAAAATATCATTAAAATCGTAAAACTGAATCGACATGATCTAGTGCATCATTAAAATCGTAAACTGAGTGTGTTTTACTGACGTTACCTATGACGTACGAAAAGGAATATATCTCCGTTATCGTTTCAAACAGGCTTTACTTAGAAGTTGATCATACGCAGGGCAATAGCTGCTCAAAAATGCAATATGCAGGGCAATAGCTGCTTCAAAAATTCAATATGCAGGGCAATAGCTGCTACAAAAATTCAATATGCAGGGCAATCGCTGCTTACAAAACTGTGTTGAGCAATCATTCACACACTTTAACTATAAAATACATATATAATAACACTATAACATCTTTTGATGCTGCAAAACTATGAAGGAAACATATCTTCTGACTGGTTTGAAGGCTTTAGAGCCGTACCTTTGGCGTTTCGCCAAGACAATACCATACGGTATACATTCATATGATTTCATATGAAACACGTGAGAGAACAATCTCAATAACATTATCGAACACCATTGAGCTGACAAAAGAAACAACATCTGCATCAATATGTTTGAAACGGATAGGCGGAAATAACAATCGTCCTTATGATAGGCAAATACGGTACGATTTGTTATATGTGTTGGTAGCGAAACATGTATTCAGTGGTTTGAGGTGTCAAGACAAGCAGGTTTGATGTTTGATATAAATGCTTAGGACATGGCATGAAACTAAAGTTCAGTAGGTTAATTCACACTCTCTGTAGTAGAAATCTTAGCAGCTCTGGCGTATATTACAGAAGTAGGCATAACAAGGTTATCTACTCAATGAAAAATTAAATATAGCATATCTTTGATTAGTTTTTGTTAATCGTTTAAAATTTACGCACTAACTCTCAATTTGTATTTAAAAAATAAAAAAAGATATAGCAAAAACATACCTTTGTGCGATATACCAAAATCCAGAAATATTCGTCATTGTGAACAAATAGTAAAAATACACCTATTGTATCTAATACCGAAAGAATTCAAAATGTTAAAGTAACTTCCACTGAGAAGGAGACTATCAATGCTGTTGTCGTTGATCTAAGGAGAGCGTAGATGTCGCTGCTGGACCCATGGAAATCTATGTTTATACCTCGGATAGAGGTAATTCATCCTGGGTTGTAGTTAGGTCAATTCGGGGCTAGACTAGGTACTGTATGCATTCGGGATGTCGTAATGTCAGGTGTTATCGTAAAAAGAATTCAGATAGGCGATGTATGCATTTTATTTTGCAATCCTCTCTAAGTTGTAATCATATTCATTCCCACTGTGATGTTTCTGGTTGTCGTATATTTTAACATGAGTGAGGTTGTTCGAATCTGGGTTTTCTCTTTGGAATATGGTGGCGTTGTTGCTTCTGGAGTTGATGAAGTATATCCGGGCGGAGTGGAGTCTAATGTTGTTAAGGGTTTCGGCGCTAGTCTGTTCCATAGGTGAAAATGATGAAGAGTGACACCTTTATTCAATATTCGTCCATCATTCTTTTGTTTATTCTCCATCACTTGTTTTGTAAGAAATTTTCGCCCTCTTAAAGATAGTGTCATCTGATAATAGTGTAGATACTACTACAACGTTTTGTGGGGAAAGCTCTGGCAACGAGAGGTAGCGGAGATTGCTGTAAAATATAAACACTCTCCTAATCTGGAAACAACAAGTTTTATTGATATAACTGGTGATGTTTACTTAAATATTAGAATGTTTAAGCCCCCTCTTCTATTCAAACCATCAAAAACGACATCATCACAAATTTAAGAGCAAGATTTCCTATCGAATAATCAAAATTATATCGCTCCTCTCTCTATCTTACAGACACTTACACACTCTCACACACACACACACACAAACACACACACACAAACACACACACATGCACACACACCTCAATCTCGATGAGTTTATTTCATATTTTTGCTTTCTTTCCTGATTAGGTTGCAAAGGTTATTTGCAACTATCTTAAATTTGACAGCCACTTTAATCTTCTTTTTCATTTTGGTCAAAATGAAATAGTGCAAATATCACAGGGAATTATTTCGCTTGCTACAAACCATACACATTTACTGGGGTCTACCTGGAGGTAAATGACGTCATTTCTTACGCCTACTAATAACGCCACGTGACGTACTCAGTTTTACTGCCGCAACTTCAAAATGACTTGCTTTGCATTCCACAACTTAGTGTTTTAGACTGTGCAAGTTTAAAAGATAAAGCTTGCCTTAATATTTGACATTTGATCTTTCAGAGCATACGGTGCTTA